ATACTATAATATATAAATCAACATATATTAATATAAATAAATAAATAATAATATATTTATATGTTGTATTTATATTATTTATATTACTTATCACTTCTATTATTGTTATATTGTTATGAAGTGATTGTAAGCCCATGTTTTTTGGGGTGATATTCCTAACCCCCCTAGTTAAGACATTTATTTATGCATTTTATTAACTCAGCTTCAACGGCTCCGAAAGAACATCCTTGGCCTTGGTGACATTTAAAATATTTTCTTCTGGCCCTAAAAAAATAATTATGCTCTAAAGGAACCTTACATTCATATCCTGAGTTATAGATTGACCTACTCCGGTTAAAATCAAAATAAGGAATTTGGATTTTAGTGCCAAAAATTCAGCTGGGTGTTAAGAGGAGCTTAATATATATAAAATATAAAATATAATATATAAAATATAATATATAATATATAATATATAATATATAATATATAATATATAATATATAATATATAATATATATTGTATAATATATATTGTATAATATATATTGTATAATATATATTGTATAATGCATAATATATAATATATAATATATAATATATAATATAAAATATATAATATATAATATATAATATATAATGTATGATATATAATGTATGATATATAATATATAGTGTATATATATAATATTATGATATATTAATATTAATATATATTATTATTAGGATATATTAATATTATATGTTACATATATAATAAATATAAATAGATATATTCATAAATAGATATAATATAAATAGATATAATATATAAAATATATTTAATGTTTAGTTAATATTAGAAATATAATTGTATAAATTTAATATTTATTTAATATATTTAATATTATATGTTACATATATAATAAATATAAATAGATACATTTATAAATAGATATCATATAAATAGATATAATATATAAAATATATTTAATGTTTATTTAATATTATAAATATAATTGTGTAAATTTAATATTTATTTAATATATTTAATATTATAAATATATAAAATAGATATAAAATAATATAAACAGATATATTTATATTTATTCTATATAAGACTTCAGTGGTCGTGGAGGGTCCAAAAAGCCCCTCAGCCCAGCCCACATGGCTCTGCCTGTTTTCTTTTCCCCCTCTGCTCAGAGGAAGGGGTGAGTTGAGGTCGGAGCTTTCCCTGGATCTGCTCATTCCGTGCGTGGAGGTCAAACCCTCGGCCATTACACGCTCGGTTCTGGGCACAAAGTGATTTTTTCGACTCAACTCAAACCATGTGTGATGTGGTGGAGGCTCCTCCTCCCCTCCCGTTCCCCCTTTTTTTTTCCCTGTGGGTTAAACCTTTCAAGTGAACAGGTGGACTTTTCTGCCTCCCCTGTGATATGAAAGAAGCAGAAAACTCGATTAAAGGCGATTTATGGTCTCTCTGACTGGCTGGGATTTGTGTCCCTGACACGAGAGGCTTCAAGCTCAGAGCTGAGACTTGGTAAAAGGGGAAGTTAAAATTAACCTCGAGCCTTTTCGAGATGAAAACCTCAACAAATAAACAGCGGTTTAGTGGCGTGGCAACCTGCCCCTTTAAATCCTGACGTGTCTGCTTTTGAGTCAGTTTTGTGGTTTTTTTACAGAAAGATAATTGGGCTCGGAGAAAAGAGCGGTAACTTGGGATTCCTGCTGGGGTGAGTTAAAGCAGAGTTTAAGGCTACTGCTTGGAATTTAGCAGTGTCTGGGGGTTTTACTGCCTTGTTTTGTGCCTCTGTAAAAACCACTCCGTGCTCTCTCCAGGGAGAAAGCTCCATTAGGAACTTCCCAGTTGTTTCCAGTTTCTAGAAGTGGTTCGGGATGCAAAGATGGGCAGAAAGTTCTAGCAATGAGATGTTCAGAAATTCTCCTGGAATCATAAAATCCCAGAATGGTTTGGGTTGGGAGGGACCTTAAAATAATCCAGTCCCACCCCCTGCCATGGGCAGGGACACCTTCCACCAGCCCAGGTTGCTCCAAGTTTATCCAACCTGGCCTTGGACACTTCCAGGGATCCAGGGGCAGCCACAGCTTCTCTGGGAATTCTATCCCAGATCCTCCCCACCCTCCCAGCCAGGAATTCCTTCCCAATATCCCTTCTAACCCTACTTTTTGTCAGTTTGAAGCCATTCTGCCTTTTCCTGTCACTCCAGGCCCTTGGAAATAATCTTTCTCCATCCTCCCTGTAACTTCCCTTCAGGTCATGGGAGGCCACAATTAGGCCACCCCAAAGCTTCTCTTCTCCAGGCTGAACAACCCCAATTCCCCTTCCTTGACCTGCTGGCCATGTTTGTTTGTAACCCTCTGCTCGGAAATGTAATAAACAAAAACAATAACAGTAAAAAAATCAAATATCCCAACTCCCACAAGAGGTCACAGAGGGGATCAACCCTAAAACCAATTACACTTTGAACAGCGAGGAAAACTCATACAGGGCCAGGAGTTGGACTCAGGGATCCTTGTGGGTCCCTTCCAACTGGGGATATTCTGTGATTCTGTGGAAAAATGATGGTGCTGGAGCTCTCTCCCACCCTATTCCCTTTCCCACCCTTTCCCTTTTCCCCACTGACCCTGAAAAGATGAGCCCTGGAAGTTAAAAAGGCGACTGCAGCAGAGATGGTCCCAAAGGAGGGAGCTTCACTTTGGGGTTTGTTTTATGGGCAGTAACGAGGGAGCTTCACTTTGGGGTTCATTTTATGGGTAATGACCACAAGCCTCAAGGTGCTCAATGAACAACACACATTTTGGAGCCAGAGGGAAAGGGAAACCAGGAGAACAGGAGGGTGTCCATGAGGAAACCTCAGTGCTTCCATCGCTGTCTCTTCCCGGGCTGCATCCCGGGGTAAAACCCATCAAAACGCTGTTTGCAAAGAGCAAAGCAGAGCAAAGCTGTTTGTGGGGAGAGCAGCTGGATCCACAGCTGGGTGTGAAAACCCATGGATCTGCTGCTGGGCAGGAGAGGGACTTCCACAGGGAGCCAGGGAAGAGGGCTCCTTGGTGTTAAACCCGATACTCTGCCAAGCACAGAGAGTTCCCAAGGAGCTGAGGAATGTGAGTGTGCCACCCACACCTCCACCCACGTCGTGTCAGCCACCAAAATATCCGTGTTTTCTTTCACAGGAGCACAGGAGAGACCCAAAGGGGTTCACTCTGCAGGGCAGGGAAGGGAGAGGTGGGATTGTGAGGGGCTGGGTTGGATCCTCCACCTGGGCAGGGAAGGAGCTGGGTGGTCCTTCCACCTTCTCTCTGTGCTTTGCACAGCATGGGACAAAGTGTGCTGATTGCCAGGAGTAAAAATCAGTAGGTTTTTAGTAGGTTTTGATTAGATAATGGGAAGAAATCCTTCTCGGTGAAGGTGGGGAGGCACTAGCAGAGATTTCCCAGAGGTGTGGCTGCCCCTGGATCCCTGGAAGTGTCCAAAGGCCAGGTTGGATAGGGTTGGAACAACCTGGTGTGGTGGAAGGTGTCCCTGCCCATGGCAGAGGGTGAAAATAGATGATTAAGGTCCCTCCCAACCCAAACCATTCCATGATTTTATGCTGACTTCTCAAACATACCTGAAAACCAGCAGCTTTGCAACAGATTTCACTAAACCAAAGACCTTGTAAACCTCAGGAATAAAAGAATGTAACTAGTCTTGCCTTAGGTAAATGATACAACCTTTCCTGCTTGCAAGAAAGAGCACCCTGCTCTTAAAAACCAGTGCCAAAACAAGAACTTATTTTGATTCACAGAAACCATTTCTTTCCAAGACCCCAGCGCTGAACCCTGACCGAGATCATTTCACTCTGGGTGGAAGAACAGAGGAAAAACTCCCCCAGGAACAGCACCTGCTAAAAATGAACACTGTCCACACACCCTTTTTTGGGTGCATCTGCCCATGAACCTGCATTCTGATGGTAACAGCTGGTGCTGAGTGACCCGACTCACTGCTCCCCGAGTTTCAGCTCATCCCAGGGACATATCCCTGGTTTTAGCAGGGACAGGCTCGGCTCTAGGGATGGCAGGGGAGATTCCAAGCTGGATGACTGGGTTCCCCTGGCATCCCTGAGCAAATCAGGCTGCTGAGTCACCACTTTGCACGTTTTCATTCAAACAAAGCCCGCTGGAAAACCACAGAAATCCACCCAGAGCAGCCAATCCCAAGGATGCCTCAGCACTAAGAGGTTGTTTTTGGGGGACGAAGCACTTTGCAAAGCTCCCTGGGAAAGGTCAAGGCAAGGTGTTGACGGTGTTTCTCTCTCACCCAAGCACACAAATGGACAAATATCCATTGGGAAATACACTTAGGCATGGAAAAAGCCCTGGAATGATGCTTCTTGGCAAGGAGAACAATGGATTTTAAGGTGTTACAGTTCTGGCACAGGCAAGGACAACAAAACAGCTGCACTGAGCTGAGAAGAGAGACAGTATGGACCCCTTCAAATCTGCCACATCCAAATTCAGCTGGAATGACTAAGGGAACACATTTCTGCCTGTTCCCTGGAGCTGCTCTCTGCACTGGGATCCTCTGTGTGTCAACCAGCAACCACAGGGACAGCACAGGGGGAGCACAGGAGGGATGTCCCACCTGCTGGAGCACTTTCTCCCCAGGAAAAGCACAAACCATAAATCCTTTTCCCATTCTCTTAAGAGCTGATCTGTGGTCACGACTGTGCAAAGCACTTTGGTGTCCATTATTTTCCAGCTTTACGAGATATCCTCCAAATCCTTCTCCTGGAAGGCTGTGACACCACGCTCTGGGGTAGGAATGGCTTTTCAAAACACACACACGTGTCAGGAAGCCCCTCTTTGCACTCATTAAAGGCTGAAAGGTATCCAAGGAGGGCCCAGAAGGGATGGGAGGGGGTCAACGGTGGGCAGGCTCAGGGATGGGGAAGCAGAGCCAGGCGAGCAGGGGGAGGATTTCGGGTACTTACCCTGGATCTGGCTCTGAGGCTGAGGGTTAAAAGCAGTGGAGTGGTTCAAGGAGGCCCGTGGGTTGGCTGTGGGGGCCGGGTGGTGTGGGCTGACCCTCATGGCCGTGCGGCGCAGCTGCTCCAGCTCGCTCAGGCGCTCGGAGAAGGACAAACTGCCGGGCTTCGCCTGCTCATCTATTTTCTGACGGTGTCCTGTTGTGGGGAGGGAGGGGGAAAACCATCAGAAAATCTCCCTGGTACACGAGGACTGTTGGTTTGATTTATTCTTTTTTTTTTTTTCCCCTCGTTTTTTTTAACCCCTGATCCGCTGCTGAAGTCTCTGCCCTGGGACTGTGTGAAATTTAGAGCTGCAACCACTTCTCTGCAGGAGCAGGAGGCACGAGGCACGAATTGCATCGTGGCCTGGTCCCGAAGAACCAGATCCACTGAAAATTTCAGTGCCTTCCTGCACCTCCCACGAGGAGAGAAGGGGTTTCTAAAACGAGGAAATGTCGAGTGACCCCAGTGCTAAACCTGCACTGGAATAACTCCTCAAAAATCCAACCCCAGATTGCCACAAGGCACCATAATTAGACAAGTTCTGTGGGGCTATAAAATAACACACCCAAGCAAGTCCTATTTTTGGAGTCTTTTGCAGTGGCTTTACAGGCAGGAATAGGAAATAAAACCCTGAGAGGGTGGGGATAGAATTCCCAGAGAAGCTGTGGCTGCCCCTGGATCCCTGGAAGTGTCCAAGACCAGGTTGGATAGAGCTTGGAGCAACCTGGGCTGGTGGAAGGTGTCCCTGCCCATGGCAGGGGGTGGCACTGGATGATCTTTAAGGCTCCTTCCAACCCAAACCATTCCATAATTCCATGAGAAGGTGGCATAATCCCTGCTTTCTGTGGAACACCATGATCTGATGTCTGTCTGCTCCCAATTTTCCTTTCCCTGTTGGAATAGTTGCCCTCTGCAGCTTCCTTTGCACCTCCAACCTCCCTGCAGGGAGCTGCCCAGTGCTGTTCCTCCCTCAGCTCACAGAAAGACTGGCACAAAACTCCTAAAACCAACCCACCGTGCCCTATTCCACACCCCCCATAGCACTGAATCCAGCAGCATTCCCAAAAATCCAGCTTCCAACACTGAATAAGCAGCACAAGTCCTCTGGAGAGCCCAGTAGTCCTCCACAGAGCCCTCTTTCAAGCCACCCCAACAGCTCCACTTTATGCACTGCGAGGAAAATGTGCATTTAAAAGCGGTTCCCAGTAGCTGCATTTCTAAAATTAAATTTTATAACTCGGCTCCTGGTTCCAAATGGCAGTGGCTGGGCCTTTCTTCCTGCTGCCAGGGCCCTTTGGCACGGGGCTCGAGCGGGCTCAGATTCCACACTGTGCTGTAAATTATCCCGGGGGGAGTGGGGGAGGAATTAAAATATAAAAAGGACGTATTATATAGTAGCGGTTTCGTCATTAAAGAGACCCATTAGGGCTTCAAAAAAAAAAAGCAAAAAGAAAAGAAAAGAAAAAAAAAAGAAAACAAAACAGAACAAAAAGAGGGGAGAAGCAAAGACAGATGAAAAGGACTTTTATCTGTCATTCTGGTTGGTCAAGAGCAAAGGTTTCATTTGTCAGCAGAGCAGAGCTGGAGCTGCCTCCAGCCTTGTGCTCCTGACCCTGGACTGGAAAGCCAACATGCAGAGTCATACAAGATGTGTAAAATACCTCATGCATTTGGATTACTTTTAAGCTTCAGCAGGCTCAGCCCAGGGCTTGCAGAGCCAAGATTCCAAATCCATCCCCTTGATGTCATTTATTCTTGATTTCAAATGCTCCTCGGACATCTCCTGCTCCTGGGTGAGGGAGCCCAGCATGACCCCCCTGCCACCTTCCCTTCCCACGTCCCAGCAGTGCCAGCCCCTGTGCCAATAGCCTCTCGTGGAGCTGAGCAGCTCCTCTGAAGCCTCAGGCTGCTGAGGCAGGAATTCACTCCCTGCTTTGAGTCTCGCTCAGGGACTAAGTTTGTGCCAGGCTGGCACACGACGCCGGGCAGGGCAGACAAAGCCCAGCCTGCTCTGGCAAATTAAGCCAGGCTTAGCATCCTCCCCAGGTCACCACAGGGCATCCTGTTCCCAGGCTGGATCCCTCCAAGCTCATGGGAGGATCTGTGCCTGTCTCACACAATCCCTGAGGTTGGAAAAGCCCTCCCAGCCCATGGATCCCCCTGTGCCCCATCCCCACCTTGTCCCCCAGCCCAGAGCACTGAGTGTCACATCCAGGCCTTCCTGGGACACCTCCAGGGCTGGGCACTCCAAACCTCCCTGGGCAGCCCCTGCCAAGGCCTGACCACCCTTTCCAGCAAGAAATTGCTCCTGATGTCCAACATTCCTCCTGATGCCCAAGATCTGTACTCTGCGCCTGCGGAGTGAAACCCCTGCCCCCACCTGCCCCTCAGCTTTCCCCTGAATTTTGGGCATTGCAGGGGATGTTTGAGCCTTCACCCTCTTCCATGGAGCCTCTTCCATAGCCTGGGGATCCCAGTGGTGCATCAGCACAGCCAAGCTCTGCCTCATCCCTCGGGCTCGTGGGAATTCCACTCGTGTCATCGCACTCAGGGAAGAAAGACCAGCACCAACAGTTCCCAGGGGAACTCTGCTGTTGTTTTGGCACTAATTTTGGGTGGGAAACACTTAAAATCAACGCCAGGCAATTGTCACCTCAAGATGTGGCTCCAAAAGTGGCTCTTCCCACCCCGCCAGCCCCGAGCAGAGGAGCTGTTTCAGCTTTCCTCCCCTCCTGAGAGCTGCAGGTAACACTGGGAAAATGTCCCAAACAGGAATGGTTTTCCCAAGCCACCCTACATGCACGGGCAGAGCTTTGTGAGGGTGACTTGTGTTCTGGTGTTTATTAGCTTCACTTTGAAGTTCCCCTCTGAACACCCTGCTCAAAGAGCAGGCAGGTTGTCCTCAGCTCACCCCTGCAAAGCCCAGGACTGTCATTATCCCCCTTTTATAGGTGGCAAACCCAAGGACAGAGGGATTAGGTGACTTGCCCCCAGCCAGGCAGCGACCCTGTGGCCCAACGTAGTGACCACAAGCCCAGGCTTCCCTTTTTCCAGGAGAGCAGGATGAAAAAGAGCAGCAGGAACGTGCTTGGGAGCTGGTTTGGCTCTGCTGAGCCAGCAGTTTGGCCACAGGGAGCAGACAGGATTTTGGGGAAGTAAATCCAGCCTCCAGCTGCTGAAGGAAGGCCTTGGCACGGAGTTCACACGAGACCTCTCACACTCCCTGTGTCCCCACAGCTTTTTTTTGACAAGGATCAGTTTGTAGGGACCAACAGAGAAAAGAAAAGGCAACATTTTTCCTTTCCCCCCACCTTGGCTTGCAGGGTCGAGGCTTGAGAGACTGGAATAAAGAGGACATCCAGCCAGCTTGGCTAAACCACAGGGTTTGGGGGCTTTGAGACTGACACAGCAGGTTCCCTGCTCTCCAGTGACTCCCTGCTTTGCCTGAGGGAATCCCCAGGCAGCTTTTTGCACCTTTCTTGGGTGTTCTTGCACCCTGAGCAGCTGGGGTTTTTTCCCCCTATGATTTAACAGTAGTTAAACAACACTGTGATGTTTTTTTTTTAGCTCGCTTCTTCTTTGGAAAAAA